TATTCAAGATGACCACACTTAAAATCAGTGAATAAAAAAATCTGTGTGGGCCAAATAAAATGTGTCTGTAGCAGTTTTGAATGGGAGGCAAAAGTTTCAAACCTTGGACTAGCCCTGGACTGTTCTCTAAATATTCAAGAAGCATTATTGATTTGGAGTCTTGGAGCAAGATTTTACATGTACTTTACATTAAATTGTGATCTCTAATGACCAAATAAATTCCTTTTTTAGATTGATACTGATATAGCACTGACTTATAGATGTAATGGGATTTTTATTTAAAATTTGCAACTACTAATTCATTCCATTTGTGTAGCTGGCCAAATCAAAATATTTTACATACTATACGATAGGTTATTATAATTTGCAAGTATAATGTAACCTTTCCCCCCATTCCCACTGGCATTTCTCTTGCTCTCTTGTAAGCCTTTCTAGAATGCTTAGGTACTTGGCTTGAAAACTGTTGTTCCTTCCCAGATAAATGGCAGTCAAAATTTCTCCATGAGTGGCATTTTATTTTATTTTATTTTATTTTTTAAAGATTTTATTTATTTGATAGAGAGAGACACAGCAAGAGAAGGAACACAAGCAGGGGGAGTGGGAGAGGGAGAAGCAGTCTTCCCGCTGAGCAGGGAGCCTGATGTGGGGCTCCATCCCAGGACCCTGGGATCATGACCTGAGCCAAAGGCAGATGCTTAATGACTGAGCCACCCAGGTGCCCCTCATGAGTGGCATTTTAGCCATTCTGAAGGACATCTGGCCAATTATAGATCATTCAGGTGACTAATACTAAATTAAAAGCATTTTTAGAAATATTCGGTTGCTCTCTACCTCCCTCTGAATCACCTAGGGATTTGCTACTGAGATGTAGTCCTGGACCAACAGCCTCAGCAATCCTTGGGAGCTTGGTAAAAATGCAGAATCTCAGTCCCCACCCTTGACCTATCGAATCCGAGTCTGCATTTTCACACAATTCCCAGGTGATTTGTGTGCACATTACATTTTGAGAAGCATTGCTAAGGTACTCTATACTGAGATCAGAGCATGATGTTTCCATTGCAGAACTGCATGAAATCTAAAGCAAAAACTTTGTCTTCATCTTCCAAAACTTGATGTCTCAGAAGACATGAAGATAGGATCCTCAAATGCTGATGTCTGCATAGTAATATACTAGAAAGATCCTTGTGCATAGAACCAGAAATTCAGGGCTGAAATCCCAGATCTGCTATTTACTAACTTAGCATGAATAAATAAACTCCAAGCCTACCTTTGTTAATCGTTAATAATGTCTACATTACAGGGTTTTGAAATATCAGATGTAAAATGCATATAAATACAGAAAACACAATATTCTAAATAAATGTGAGTTGAAGAGAGCATAGCTACAAGTGTACCTTGGTCAGGATCTGGCCAGAAAGTGCACAGAACATGCTGATGTCAGAACACGACCTACAGAAAACATCGCCTGACCAGCCACCCAAACTCTTCCCTGGCCATTGACTCTGTGGAGCATAAATATATAGCCAAAAGGATCATTGGGTCTGTGGTCATTGGACAATGCATCTCTCACCAAGGCATTCAGATTTAATTGATTAATTAATTTAAATTATTAATTATTGAATTATTTATATATTAAAATTAATTAATTAAAATGTATTTATTTATTTAAATTTAATTTACTTTAATTTAGATAAAATGGAGAAAAGACTATTTGAAACAGGGTACCAAGCTCAGGTATCCGGTGTAAAACAATTGGGTTAGATCTGTAAGTTTTTTTTACACATGGACATAAACCAAAGGTTCTCAGAATTTACTGTAAACAAGACTCAACTGAGGACCTTGTTAAAATAGAGATTTTTTTTTTCCTTTCTGAATTGTCAGAGAATCTGATTCACTAGATCTAAGATATGGCGGGATTATGAATTTTTAACAAGCTTCACAGTTGATTTTGATGCTGGTGATCTGCAAGTTATTGTTTGTGAAAAGTGTTAAATTAATAACATGCAATAGAAGGAGAACTTCCTAAGTTCATCAATATCAGACACAATAATAAAAACTGCAGTCATTATAGTTTTATTCTGTCTTTACAATACCTCTCTGTGATAGGTAATGTATCAGTATTTTACCAATAAAAGAGGCTGAAACTGTAGTTATCACATTTAAGTTCATCCAGGTAGAAAATGGCAGAACAAGAATTTGGATCCAGGTATGTGTGATTCCAGAGCACAGGCTATAAATCACTATACTGTATTTAAAGACACAGGGTTCCTACCATCTCTCTAAGTAACAAGAAATGATCAGTAATGCCTGGGTCCCCTTTGTAGGAGGGTTTTGGAGGATGCATGAAATAAACTGAACTTCTCAGACATTTCGTCCTCATTATCGGAGATTCATTTGGGAATGAATTTGGGAGGATAGAAGATACAAAAGATATCTTCTTTATGTAGGCGAGGACAGGTTACACGAGGATATAATTCCAGATAACAACCATATAATATTTTCTTGAGTCCCTTATGCCAACTTAGAATGGCCTGCTCAGTAATTCTACCTGGGTGTCCCATGGGAAACTGTCATGTCCCAGTCTGTCCTGAACCCGTCACCTTTCTGCTTCTCCTCCCCAGGCCCATTTCAGTGGTTTTCTGTCTTGGTGAATGGCACCCTGTCTACCTGAATATCTAACTCAGAAAGCTGGAGTCATTTTTCTCACTTGTTGTATCTCGGCATCTATATTAATCAGATACTTTGACCAACTGATTCCTTTCCCATATACTTTTCTGACCTATCTGCTTTTTTCCATCCATTATACCAATGTTTAGTTCCTGCTTTGCAACTTGTTGGGACTATTTTCTCTTCTCAACCAATCTCCGTCTAGTCCAGCAGTATGGCAGTCACATTGATCTTTTAAAATGAACATGTCTATCCCATCCATGGGGAATTCCTTGTCTTCCATAGGAAAAGAAAATGAAAATCTCTTAGCTGAGGAGGAAATACTTGTGCTGGTATATGCACAGAATCTCTCTGGAAGGAAAGAACATCGGTTTCCTGTAAGGAGAACTGGGTAGTTGGTGCATAGGGCCAGGATGGAGATTTTCTACCCTATATCGTTTTTCTAACTTTTAAATTTTGAAGCATGTAAATGTGTCAAAAATTTTAAAAGGGAATACAAATTCCTTAGCTAGGTGAAATAGCATGACATCAGAGATTTGCAAAAGAAATTAAAACACAATGAGAAAAAAAAGGAGGAAAGAAAGAGAGAAAGGTTGGATAGGCAAGAATAGAAAATGTTGATAAATGTATCTGCAGGCTGAGTGTATTGCAGGTTTACTTTACTATTCAGTGTTCTATACTAAAAATTTAAGGATACAAATAAATCCCAAGCTTAGCCTACAAGGCACCTCACAATCTATCCTTTGCATGCCTTTCTATGAGCTGTCCCAGACCCTCTCCATGCCTTCTTCTTTTTTTTCCATGCTGAACTACTTACGCTTCTCTGGACCAAATCCCTTTCTTTCTCATCTCCATGCCTTTGCATATGCCAGTTCTTTATTGGTAATGTTCTTGCCTTCTTGCTCATTCTTCCCTATTCTTGGGACTTTAGCTCCACAGCCACCTCTGCAGAGAAGCCTTTCCTGGGGTCCTCTTCACCTCTTCCAAGAAGAGCTAAGGCCTCCTTTCTCTAAGCTTCCACAGTACTCAGCACTGACTTATTTTTTTTGGTTCTTATCACATTGTGTAATCAGTATATGTCTTAGAAGCCAGCAACCAGAGTACCTCGTGCAGGCTGTGTGCTTTATAGGGTTCTATGGGCCCTCCTCTGGCTACATCTTGCCCTCAGTCTGTGGGGACAACCGGGTGTGGCCACCTGGGTTTTCTTCTCTCTTACACTCCAGATCCTAGGACCCTGAAATTTTTTCCCCCAGACAGTTCTTTCTCGGCTGCCAGGGACCGCTTGGGCCTCTTGCTGAATGAATCTTCTAGTCTCAGGGGGTGACCAAATTCAACAGGGTAGCTGTTTGTTAGATGGGGTTAGAACTTGAACAAGCAAGCTGGTGTCCCTTTCAGTGTTCGACAGAGCTGGCAGTGGAAGGGGTGCTGTGAGGGTCTGAAGGAGACCCCTATCTGTACTCTTGCAAAAAACTAATGGTGCACTTGGCTTTGATTACTTGTGTTTTATATCTGGCTCCTCTTCAATTACTTTTAATTTTATATCTGTAAACTGAGTCTTGGTAGGCCGAGAACTACTTTCTATTACTCTCTGAATCCCCAGTACTTTGGGCAATACCTGATGTGATCCCATAGTTGGGATTTAATAAATCATAGTTGAATGAATAAGTGAAGACAAATGATTTTGAATTTCTAGCAAAATTAATTATGATGACATTTCCCTCTTCTAATTGTGCCAATCCTGAAACATTGTATTTTGAAGAACTAATTATTAGGGGTAGTATTAGCTACTAATTTTATAAAGCACTTGTAAACTGGTACACACACACACACACACACACACACCATTTTATCCTCACACTAACTCTAAGAGATGAGTACTATTCCTGACCCATCTTACAGATAACAAAAGTCACGAAGAGGGAATTTAAGTAACTTCCAAAAATTTACTCAAATGGTAAGAGATGAAACTCAGGTTCAAACCCAGAAATTCTGGCACCAGAGACAGTAAATTGGTCAAGTTTTGGTAAAACTTCAAGAATTGCAAGGCACATCCTTGTGCATTTGTCCTTGTAATTTCTGCCTTGATTTCCAGGATATGAAGCTGGCCATCCATCTGGAAGCTGATAGTTAGCAATATAAAATCTTAGGAAATTTTTGGTTTTCCAAAAAGCAGCAAGTTGTAAATTCAGGACAAGTAACCCGCAACTTAGACATACTAAAACTACTTGAGAAAATATGGATTTTGCTGTTTCTACTGTTACTATTTTGTTTTATTTCTCTACATTCTATTTTATTTACAATAGAGAAGACCTTAGGAAAAATAAAATACTTGCCTTCAAGAGGAGGTGATGCCGGAGTGGGTCTGGAAGCTTGTTCTGTTGGGAATGGAGGTGGTAAGGCTGGACTTTGTCCTGTGCACACAATGTAGGAGTAGGCATTGAGAAAGAAAAGTATTAACAAATTTAATATCCATGACTAAAATAGCTAGATCTGTCCCCAACATGCATAATTCATAATCCAAGTATAAATTCATATTATTATGCAATAAGAAAAGTGTTATTAGGTGAGATTTTTAAGTGGATACATACACAGCTTCCATTATTTTCAGAGCCATTTCTGAATATATTACTTTTCATAGATGTATATACAATGTTAAATATATCTACTGGACTTCATAATGAAAAATCTACATGCAATCAAATAAAGCAATTTATTTTCAAAATGCACTTTAAATTATGGAAACTAAAATCACAGAAGCTGAGAGGACTCCTAATATAGAGAAAAATCACCACTATTTTCATTTAACTAAAAATTCTCAAATGATATAATAGGGCAATAAAAGAAGGTTAAAATTCATGGGCCTTTTGATATTGAACAGGTACATTTTCTCCCGCCAAAATAAATGACCTGCAGTTAAGTAAATAATGGGCCAAAGGGAAAATATATTCAGTTTTATAGAGTCTTGAAAGGCTCCCTCAAGTCTCGGGGCTTATTATGAACTGTATAAAAACCCACAATCGTTTCTGAGTGCTTCCTTATCCCAAGCGATTTCTTTAATTAACCAAAACCATCCAGGCCATGAACTGTAAACATTAACTAACATATGATCCCATATGAAATGCTTGCAAAATGTTTTATCATTAATTTTCACTCCACAAATTTCTGCTGTGTGTTTCTTTTAAATCCAGGAACTGAGGTGGGCTTATGCACCTTCGGAAATCTCACTGACAACGAGATATTATCAAATGTCAGCAGACCTGCCTGCTCACTGGAAGTTTTCCTTTTTTAGAATTTGTCAAAATTAGTTTGCTCTGGTGAGTTGTGCAGTAGCAAGCAGAGCAATTGGAGTGGCGTACACACCACTGTGGGGGTAAGAAGGGCAACAACCCAGGCCCTCGTGCCAAAGAGAGGCGAGTCGCCACTCATTCGCGGATTTCCTCGTAGTCAGACCCGTCCAGGTGGGTTGTTGAGCACGTTCAAGTATGCATAAAAGCGCCTTGTTTTATAACATGCAGGCCATATACCTACAAAAGTATCAACCCATGCAGGCCATATACCTACAAGTGTATCAACCCATATTATCATCCATTTTTTTTCCTCCTGAGAGCAAAGATTTGATAGAAACATATTGCAAGATGCAAGTTCCTCTTTCAGGGTACAAAGAAAAGGTGAGGCTGGGCACTCTAAAAAAAAGTTTGATCTCTGTGATTTTTCCCTAGCTAACATTTATATACTGCTTACTCTCTGCCTAGAATAATCCCAATCGGTTTTGATATATTAAGTTATTTAATCTCCACAAGATCCTTAGGATGTGGGTGTATTTTCACTTTACAGTTTGATAGCTAAAGTGAACAGGTTTTCAGGCCGTTCAGCAGCTAGGAAGTGGAGCTGAATTTCCATGGAGGCTCCAGATTTGAGGTGCTTAAAGCCTCCTTCAGACTGCCCAAGGCCAGAGAAGGCTCATCTTTTATAAGGAGGTCCATGAGTGCAGGTGGGACAGATGCATGAAGCTTCCACCCTGAGTCTCCACCTTTTTTGTGAGTCAAAGGGATATATGTGTGTAAATATCCATTCCCAAGTCTTGCTTGAGAGCTGTTCTTGAAAAACTATTTCTAAGGTAGGCTGATATTTTGCAGCTTTTAAATCTAGGGATAATCTAGATATAGGAAGGAGTTAACTAAATGATTAGAGCTTAAAATACAAGTGGCCATGAATATAAATCAATTGTTTCCAAATACCGAGGCTTTCAAAAATATCTTCATAAGATGGTCCCTGTCATATAAAAACCACTTTTTCCCTGTCATATACTTTCATGAACAGTGATGATGTAAAATCACAATCCTTTATAGTCTTGATAAGCTTTTTAGAAATGTATTTCAAAACGAAATTCTTTCCAGGGAAATTATTCATACTTTATAACTCTAAAATATTTTTAGATTTTCTTGGAGGAACTATAAAGTTATTATTTTATTTTAAAAACATTTTAGTGAGCACTTCGTATGTGCCAATACCAAAAACATTAAACTCCAGCCGTGCCTTCAAGAGGTTTCCAATATACTGACTAAAACAGACTTAGATCATTATAATAGATTGCTCTACTACAGTGTGATGATGGGAAATAATATATACAGAGGGAATGTTGCAGAAAGACCCCTGGAGGAGATCAACTGTAACCTGCATTTAAAGACCTGAAACGAGTTTGCTGGGTAAAGAAATAAGGAGAGGAATTGTTTGCTTACAGAGAGAATCTGGTAAAAACAAGGCACGGATGCCAAAATATGGAGGACTCCTAAAACAAACAATCTGGTGCCTTCTGCAGCAGAAAGTATAATATCCAGTTTATAATAGAAATTCTTTACGACTGTAATCAACTATATTATGCTCCCTACAGTGGCTGACTGTATCATTGTGAGGCAATGGACACAGCAGAGAAGTAGGATCAAAGAAAAAGAGAAAGAAAAAACCAGAAGTCTTCTTGCTTCCATAGTGACAGCTGTAAGTCACCCTGGCAGGAGAATTATTAGCTCAGAACAAATTTCTGTTGTGGTAGGGAGCACCAAAACAAACCAGATACGTCATCCTTGAGCATGACGCATGACTTAAAGAAGAGTCTTTTATGTTCAAATAATGTCAGGGAATATTGTTGAAATCAGAGACCATTTTATATATGAATAAATATATAATAAATTATGCTAATATAATGTTATATTAATAATAGAATTTTAGGGCGCCTGGGTGGCTCAGTTGGTTAAGCGACTGCCTTCGGCTCGGGTCATGATCCTGGAGTCCCGGGATCGAGTCCCGCATCGGGCTCCCTGCTCGGCAGGGAGTCTGCTTCTCCCTCTGACCCTCCCCCCTCTCATGTGCTCTCTCTCTCTCTCTCTCTCTCATTCTCGCTCTCTCAAATAAATAAATAAAATCTTTAAAAAAAATAATAATAGAATTTTATAGTAAATAGTTGTTTAGTATAAAGACTATATGTTTAAAGTCAAATGGTGAGAGTTTGTATTTGTGAGAGTTTCAGCTTTATCACTTACAGTCTGGGTAAACTTGAAAATCTCATGGAGAATCCAAGCCTCAGTTTAGGGCCTTTATAAAATGAGGAGAGTTTTTAGTGCTGTTATGGGGAGTAAGTGATGCAGCATCTAACACATAGTAAATACTCAAAATACTAATTTTTTCAATAATGAATTTATAATTTATATCCCATCTAATTACACAAGAGGCCTTGAAACAGACTTTGAAGTACATAAACAAAGACATAACAACAGATAAAATTAAACATGACTGAAATAGCAGAACTCATTTACGGGAAAGAAGCTTATAATTTTATTAAGAATATATTCCTTTGGAATTCCTGAGGACTGTTACTCTCTGAAGGCATGATTTAGGTTGTTGAAATTTACGTCGGAACTCTAAAGGTGCCCTTCATTTTATAAGCTATTACCTGAAAATCCCTCTGACATTCGAACATAGTGAATTGGCTTTATTTTTGTTTCTTGAGTGATTTGGGCTGGCTTATTTCCATAATACCTGAATGGCATTTTTGTAAGCTGCCAATATTTTATTGTTCTGAGTTTTTTCTCACACAAGTCAATTTGATTGTTTTTGGTTTAGTCAAATTCCACTGGGGATAGTAGGCAGTGTGCATTCCTTCTAATGATCTAAGTTACCAATGTTTTCTTTACACTGCTAGAAATGATGAATGGAATTACTCAGAATCTCAAGTCAAGTAGGAGGCTAGGAGCTGAATTCAGATAACATGAGGTAAAAAACAACTCACTATACTAAAATTTAATTCATCTGATTTCTTTATCAAAAGATATTCCCTGCAACGTTTCTATACAACTAAAGCCTACCCCCTAAATATTGAAACAAATGTCGAGGAGATATTTTTCTCTAATGCCTGATAGATATTTAATTCCTTAGGCCACTATTGCATTCTCCTGGAGGTACTGAGTATATCCAGAAGATCATAAACTCTTTGGAAGGCCTCCCAACAGTGAATGGTGATAGATTCTGGGATAGAGAAGGTGTCATTTTTGTAAGTGACCACTGAGTTAAAATTCACTTACATTTAAAAAAAATACAATGTATAAGATAATTACAGATTCCTATTTGTTCTTTCAGTTTCATAAAAATCAGTTGTGAATCTCTGACTAACAGTAAAGTGGGGAGATCTGAATTTAGTAAGAAAATGATGGTTAAGTTTGCTAAAGCAATAACATTAGTTGTATGCATTGCACAAGGTTCCTAGACTGAGTATTTTTATAACATGTGGAATAACATTTTTAAAATTTGGAATTGAACAAATAGTAAAATTAAATATGGTTTTATATCTTAGGCTGAGATATGTGATTGTGCTAGTGTCCTTCATTAAAATAGGGACATTTTGATCTCCAAATCTCCTTACTGTCTTTCCCTTGCCATGTAGTTTTGGGAGGAGATCAGAAGGATTTGGGGTGTCAACCATTCCTCCCTTTCCTACCCCATCTATTAAAACAAAAATTTTAGGCCCTTCATACAATAATCCCAGGTTTATGAATTTGCCCATGAAATGAGGACCTCATCAGTAAGGAACCACCTGAAGAAGGTCAGGAGTTCGTATAAGGTGGGTGGATCAAGGAGGTGTTTGCTACAATATAAGCATCTTTATACCTGCCACTCATGAATTGCTAAATTCTACACAGCTACTTTGCATCCCTTGTACATGGTCTTGTGGAAGGGGTACTCGGTAAACAGGCTTTATCACTTAACTTAGGTCTCAGTTGTTTCAAGGATTTAGAGAACAATAATCTCTGCTCCAATTGGGTTTTTGTGAGTGTTCATGGGCATCATAGTGCAAACGAAATCACTAGGGGAGCACAGTGAAGACAGAGAAAGACCCTGTTGTTAAGGAGCTTATGTTAGA